AAATAAAATAAAAAATAAGCTGAGTGTGGTGGCACACATCTGTAATCCCAGCACTCAGGAGGCTGAGGCAAGAGGATTGCTGTGAGTCTGAGGCCAGCCTGGGCTACATCTGGGCTACATAGTGAGCTCAAGGCCAGCCTGCACTACAAAGTGAGACCCCCATCTCAAAAAAAAAAAACAATTAAAAAAAGTTTTTGTGTTTCTGACTTTTATCATGATCACAAAGATGGAGCATTGGTGGGGAAATGTGAGTGGACATCAGTTCCCCCACATCATTGACAAGACTGAATGTTATCTCTCTTTCTTCAGTTGTTAGCAATATCAGCTTCCCTTATGTCTCTCCACATCAGACCTCCCCTCCTTCTGGTTTCCCTATTCACCAATATGTTTTTCTCCATTTCATAATGTCCTAGTTACAGTTTTCTGTTCATTCATTCACTTAACATCATCCTTTTGAATGTATGTGTGTCTTGGGAATGGAATCCAGGGCTTTTGCACTGAGCTATAGCCTAAGGCTTTTAAATTTTTTTTATTTTGTGACAGAGTCTCACTAAGTCACTAAGTTGCTCAGTATGGGCTCAAACAGGTAATCCTTCTGCCTCAGCCTCCCAGAATGCTGGGATTACATGCATGTGCCATGTTACCAAATTTAACTTCATCTTTCTTACTACACAGAATATTCTCAAGCTGGAGGTGTAACTCAGCAGAACTGCACTTGCATAGTATACATGAACTTTGATCCCAAGCACCACAAAATATAAATACATAGAATGATCTCTTTTTTCTGTGTATCTTCATACATTTTTATTCCCTGAGAGAAAAAGCTCACAATTGAGGTTTTAACATGGAGGTTAGCTTAAAAAAAACAAAACACATGATCTGGATAGCTCAGTCCTCCTTAGCATTTTTTTTCTAGACAACTTTATAAACATGATTGCCTGACAACAACCTTTTAATGTGCTTTGTGATGCCTTGATCTTAACTATCAACAAAGAATCAAGGTTCTTCTACCAAACTTGGTTTATGGAATTAAAATTCAGCCCTAAAATTGTCTTAAAGTAAAATAAACAAGCAGCTTGATGAGGTGGCACACACCTGTAATCCCATCACTTGGGAGGCTGAGGCAGGAAGATCATCACAAGCTCAAGGCCAGCCTAGGCTACATAGTAAACTCAAGGCCAGCCTGGATTACATAGTGAGATCCTGTCTCAGAAAAATGAAATAAACAAATGAGAGCAAAAATATTAGGAAAATCTCTCAAAAGAAGACAAAAGAAGTATACATGTTTATATTATGTATTTATTTATTTTATTTTTGGGGGAGACAGGGCCTCTCTATGTAGCCTAGGCTGGCCTTGAGCTCATTATGGAGCCCAGGCTGGCCTCAGGCTTGCAGCGATCCTCCTTCTTCCATCTCCCAAGTGCTGGCATCACAGGCATGCGCCACCATGCTCGGCTAAAAAGTACTTTTTAAAGGAAACCAAGAAATTGCTTACTGATATTCATATCTTTAAGTTTCTGTTGATTCCACTTATCATATTGGCTGCCCATGTTCGATTTGTGATTTTATTCCTGAGAGAGGCTCATCTGGACCTCCATGTGTTGGAAAAAATTCCAGAATGTCTGGGCTGAAGACCAAAAAAGAAAAAAATAAAAGAACTGTAGGAATTGAAAATCTCAAGGGACACTGTGGTAATGAAGACACATACTAACTGATGGTGCATGTGGCTTCCTTTCCTGCACCCCAAGTTGTCACTAGGAGCCCTCTCTTCAGGACATCTCTCGGTGCTTTAACACCAGGTGCCTCTGAAAGTATCTTTGCTGTCTGCAGGGAGAAAATAGTTTTAGGCTCATCTTCCTTTTTCTTATGCCCAGACAGCATCTTGTGAAAAAAACCAGTTCTTTTAAAATAAGTATAATCCTAGAGAAAAAAGAAAAAACAAAACTGGGTACTGAAGTATACAAGGTGTCTAACTCCACCCCCCCACCCCAGGCCTCACACGATCAGAGGTGGGGCTTTTGAGGTGGCTGGACCTAGAGTGTGTGGTGATGGGATTAAGTGTGTGATGCTGGGATCAGGGGTGTGTGATTAGTAAATTAGTCCACTGATTGGTTTGGCATGGTTCTGGATAGGATTAAGGGTACTCCACCCTGGGTGTAAGTGCTACCTGCCCTAAGGGTAGGTAGTCTGGATGGAATAGAAGGGACAGAAATAGGGTCATCACTTGTCTCTTGCTGCTTGGTGCTTCACTGCCTTCTGCTGCCCATGAACTGTTTCTCCTTTGCGATGCCCCTCTGCCAGGCCACCCTGCCTTGGAGCCAGCTGACTATGGACTGAAACCTCTACAAACTGTGACCCAATTAAACCTTTTCTCCTTTTACTTTGGGTGTCAGATATTTTGTCTCAGCAATGAGAAAATTAACTAAGACAAAATGGTTTTACATAACTTGTAGAAAGAGGCAGAATGATATCAGACAGGACACTACTCAAATTACTGTGGTAACAGCAACAATCTTGTAAAAAGAATAAAGAATTTGTGTTAATTTTTCAATTTAATCTCTGAGTTCTTTTTTGTATTGTTGAGTTATCGGACCTTATTTTCCATTTTGGTTAATGGAGTTCTTCTATTTTATATTAATTCTTACACGTCACATTATAGATTATCATTTTGAACTATGTTATCTCTTAATCTTTGTATTATCCTCTAATATCTGAAATTCTTTTTTCCTTTTTTTTTCTTTTTTTGTTTTTTCAGTATCGGAGATTGACCTGAGGGCCTTCACACTGAGCTATATCCCTAGCACTTTTTATTTTTAATTTTGAGGCAGAGTGTTTCTTTTTTTTTTTTTTTTTGTACAAGGGATCGAACTTGGGAGCTTGGGCTTGCGAAACAGGCTGCAGAACCACTGAGCTAAATCCCTGGCCCAAGACAGAGTGTTCTAAGTCACTAAATTATCTAGGCTGAGCTCAAACTTGTGATCCTCCTGCCTCAGCCTTCCAGAGTGCTGGTATTACATGTATGTACCACCATGCCTAGCTATTTCAAATTCTTCTTGTTCTGGTTCCTCTGTTTCATCTTCCTGTTCCTTTTCTTCTCCTTTTCATCCTTGGCTTAGGTATTCTGGAACTGCTTCCAACGTATGTAAGTTCAGAGAGGTCTCCCTGCCCGTTCTCACCATCAACAGCAACTCCAACGACCTTGAAAGATAAAGAAAGGTCATCCTTTCTCAACAACACAACCAAAAATCCAGCCCAGTCTGACAAGGAGAACCAGTGGACCCCTTAGTAGACAATAATGATATTTGATGGGTGAATTATTGGTTCTCCAAAACAAAGCTTCTTTAACTTGTTTTAAAATTGATTTTTTTTTGTCTATATGTTCATGCCAAACTACCAATATGCTTGTTTGCTTTCATATTCATTTATTTTAAGGTTGTCCTAGGACTGAATTCCAATTTCAGAAGTCCTCGGATGTATAATTACTATGTTGGTATTGCACAACCCCAGCTGCCCAAATTCAGCAAAAATAATCTGAAAATAAAACCAAACTACGTTAATAAAAAAACCTAAGCCGGTGATTTAGCTCAGTGGTTCTGGTGCCTGCCTTGCAAGCGCAAGGTCCTGAGTTCGATCCCCAGTACCAAAAATAAAAAATTTTAAAAAATAAAAAATAAAAAAAAAAACAAACCTAAATTGTAGCCAAAATCATTAGAAAATGACAGTAAATGTGGTAGTCACAGAATTCCCTTCTTAGAACATTGTTCTTGGTTGTTTTTGTTGTTTTTGTTTTTTTTTGCTTAAGTTCTTTTATTGGTACATTTTCGGTATAAAATACAGTTACATTCATCATTGGGATCTTGTACCATTACATGAGTATCTTGGTTCTGTTTTTTTTTTTTCCCCATCCCCTGCCCTCCCTTCACCCCCTCCACCCTTCCCTATTTGCAAAGACTTTGTTTCCATTTTTTTCCTTTTCTCATATTTTTTCTTTTCCCTTCATTCCCTTTCCTGACCCCTCACACTTCCCCTACTCCTTTAGACCTTTTCTTCCTATTACACAACATCAATTATACATTTTTTAAATTACAATATCAATATCTAGAAGACATTACCACAGATGTTACAGAATTTAGAAGGATATAGACAGTATATTACAAATCTTTTTTGACATAAATTGGACAATTTCTAAGAAGTACCTTGGAAGACAAATTGATGCAACTGACTCTGTAGGAAATATAAAATTTAAATAGCACCTATTAAAGAAAATATATTCCTAGGTTGAAAACCTACCTATATGACAACAGGCTCATATACATTTTAACTGATAAATTATATCAAACATTTAAAGCAGAAAGAAAAAGCCATATGATCCT